ACCCAGGTGCTGACCACTGTGCAGGGCATTTTTGGGGGTGAACTCCCCCTGGAACGCCCATTCTTGGCACTAGACAGCATTTGATTGTTTGCCGGAGCTCCGAGTATGTGCCGTGCCTGTGGGTTGGGTGCTGCTGTCAGTTATGCAAAATAGCTGACATGCCAAGGAAGCAGGGTCGCTCGACTCCTTCGCCCCACGGCGGCGGCTTATCTCGGGTGGCTTATTGATAAAGGCGGCGGAAGGGCTTGGACAGCCAAAAGGCGGCCGACGGAAGAAGCAGGCCGCAACAAAAGTATGCCGGGGAAAAACGAAAGTCTTCTGATTTCTTTGGATACTCGACATTTCTATTAGAAATGCCGCCAATGGTGCCCAAATAGATATGGATCCGAACGGAGAAGGAGTTTTGCGCGTGTTTATGTATCAATCAGAGGAGCGGATCCATTGGCATGATGCGGCACAATCCGAAGTAGCTGGAAATGGATCTGGGATCTAAAAACTGGGATCTGTGCAGATGGAGATGGGGATGGCGATGGCGATGGTGATGCACTGACTCAGCTGCGAGTTCTCTGCGATCATGAGAAAGACGAGATTAGCGCAACGAATTATGAAATTGAAATTACTCTAAAAAGTGTTTGGCGATCGAATGCGATACGAGTTCGAATCCGAAGACCAAGACTCAGCATATTTCAGTAATACAACCGAGTCATCATGGATCAAATACGCGGTGCCGACGCCAGATATTTGTGTTTACATGTATATACATAACTGGGGGCCCATCCTCTCGAGATGCGCTAATCTCGTAGGGAGAGGAGTCCCCGCCATCTTGGCCAATCCAATCCACTCCACTTTGATCTAATTAATCAACATTCAGCGGCAAAGAGTGTCAAATAGTTCGGGGGTCGCCTTTGTAATTGCTACCATTTGAAATGGAAATCGATGTCGATGTGGAATATCGCCAGTGCCTCGCCCAGTCGACTGTCGACTGTCGACTGTCGCTTGTGGATTGTGTGTCAACTGCGACACGGACGGTGACTGTCACCTCGCGTTGAGGTGACTGCAATCGATCATGGCTCCAGTGGTCCATGGGCCCTGGCCTCCACTCCAAACGGGTGTCTTTGTGGCCCCAGTTTCTGATTAGCCGCCGCATTTATCCGGCATTCCACGCTTGACATTTTTCCGGGGCCCAAACAGCTCCATTGTCGGCCAATTAAACGCTTACCAAACTGATTGTACCAAGCGATACGGATTCAGATCGGGCCAAAAACGCACCGAGTACAGTGTAAATTTGCTGGAGTTACATGAGATATTAAATGTATCAGCACGCTAATTTGGGCAAATTATGATTTAAGTGGCCGTAGTTATTGTAAGCGACGCACTACTTCATTTTGTGAATTATGGGTCACGTAAATGCATTTGATCACACATAAGTTTATTTTAACATCATAAACATCATTGGACACCAATAAAATAGTTTTTCTAAGCGAAACATTTCGATGTGACTCATTTAGTATTCCACGCCCTTTGCCAATTAACCACCAAATGAATCTTTTATCCAAAAGAAATCGTAAGTTGAGCCGGACAAACATTTTCGTTGGCACCTTCCTTGACCATTTTGGTTGGCGTCACCTGTCCATCGCACGTTCGAAGCTGTCGCTGGTGCGTTAAAAATGATTAATTAAGGCATTTGAAAATCATTTGTCATTCTTAATTTATTAATTAATTAGAATTGCCCAACACGTACATTGACACCTGAAGCGGACTCGAAACTCCAGCTCCGAGTCCCTCATCGGGGATGTCCGACTGGTAATGCGATATGGAACCGGTTCGGGACTGCCCAAAGATACAGATACTGCCTCAAGCCAAGCAATGCATTGCAGTGTAAAGATATTACCCACGCGAACTATGTTTTACCTTCAATTTGAAATTTAAAATATAAATACAAGCTGCAATATGGCGGCTATATTAGATTAGGTGTTCCGTTTAGTTGTATAAAACAAAGCTAATAGATAATCGCACATTTATACATATAGATATTCGTTATTTTCCTTGTACAAACAGAAATATTTTAAAAACGTAGTTAATGTAACATGTATGTATGTCAATATTCAATTCCCAGCTAGCAATTTGAAAATAACGTACATTTGCGTATTTTTACGTTACCACCCCGACTTCTACACATGTCAGTAGTTGCCACACAGATTACTACAAATTTCAAGAGCTGCCATACCGATTTCAACACATTACGAGCTTTCATCCATTTTTATACACACATGCGTATCGTTGGCGTCCTTAGAAAACGGTGTGGCAACGCTTGACTTTAAAAAAATGATGAGGGCAGCGACCGAATTCCTTAGAAATCAGGATGGCAATTGCGAAAATACTGAAAAAGTACTGCAAAAGTACGCTTCTTTTAAAATGCGATGCAGGAAATACATATTTGGTTTGAGTATCCACTAGCTTCTTCGATGGTTTGACACTTGGCTTAAACGTTTTATTGGTTCATGTCGCTGATAACATTATTAGTTATAACGAACATTTAATACCCTAACCGTACCGATGTTTCTTGCGCAGAGAGGACATCTCTAGTCCTATAAATGAGCAGGATTAGGAAGTAGTCAAAATAGGCAAGTTCGGACAGCGAATGCTTAAGGCATCCGTCTGAGGCAGCGTTGTCCATCCTTAAGATATTTATCTATGTTTTATTACATCGAGAAGCATAAGCACTTGGGCCGGCACTTCGTCAAGGGACATTCAATCACGTTCTAGCCTTTAGCGCTGATGAGCAAATAAAACTATAATCGCTTCATTCATTATGCGCAGTCACAGAAGCGCGATTGTAATGCGCCTTGATTCGCTTCGATTTACGATCTCGACGCACAATGGATCACCGATAGCCATAAGGAAGTCCAGATCTGACAGCAGCTGCCCCTCCGATTTATGTTTTTATAGCTAAATGATAAATGTAGACGCCCAGCTCGGAGAAACAAACGCTTAGTTGTCAGTTTGAAGGCCCTTCGGTGGCACCATCATCAATTCCGCAAATCCACCGATCGAGAACACTCGTAGTCACTTCTGCGTAGCTCCCTTCTGCGGTTTTTGGATCCCTATTTCCTGAGTTGCCCAGCATTATTAAGACATTAACGATAAGATTTTCAAGTTTCAGCTTAGCTTGCACAGCATGTACTCTAACTATTATTATTTAATGGTATTTCTTTGAGCAATTCAAATGCTTACGACTTTACGAGTTGATTCAATCGCCTTAAAGAACTGTCAAATCATTCAAATAAATGGGCCCCCTGCTTCCCACACCCCCAACTCGGCGGTGTTTGTATAGTCGTGAGGCACTAAACAAAGAAATCTAATAAAAACATATATAGAAAATCAATGAAAATATTTCGTATTGACTTTTATGCGAGCGGCGCTAAGAATATCCAAGACAATGGTTTATTAATTAAATTATTACTTATTGATTAGGAGATATTAATCAAAATAATTTTTGTAAATGTCATTTAGAGTAAAAGATTGTCGTATACATCTTCAGTATGTTAAAATTACCTCAGCTCTAGCGGGGAATTACTTTCACTTAGGTATAAGCACTATTAATACAATTTGAAAGAAAACACTAAATTTATATAATTTTCTGCTGTTGCCAAATTTGGAAAAAACAAGAAAATTCGCCATTTTATGGCAAGTTGACAAATAGACGCCAATAAAATAAATCAACAGAATTTGGGCAGCTTTGAGAATCTCGAAAGTGAGTTAGCAACAGAAATCTTTAAAGTTTGCCAAACTTATATGTTCAGATAATAATAAAACCACCTTCTCAAGCGATTATCAACAGTTATACAGATATTGCATTTTTGACGGGCGATACATTCATTTGATAAACGTATGTGGCATTTTAATGGCACTGAATTCAGGAGTAGGTGTCAGTCATGAATATAAGTTCTCGCTCAAACTTTCTCCCATATGAAAAACCAAGAGCACCGGTGTAACCTTTAAGTCGGTCGTATCCAATGCATCCGAAGGTGCCAGCTGCAGTGATCTGGAGCTCGACTCGTGGCAGCTGGGGCGTATGATTGATGGGATGATGACACCACTGCCAAGTTGGTGGTAAATCACAGTTAGAGACAAAGGCGCAACCGTTACGAATCGCCAATGGCAATCAATCATCGCTGCCATCGATATCCATTTGGATGTAGATAACTTTCTGCGTCAAAGAGTTGGCGTTGGCAGACGAATCGGTGCCAAGTCGTGTGATTTCGATTGCCCAGAGAAGATGGACAATAAAATGCTGATCGTTATGGATACTTGGCATCACAAGCCGAGCATTTCCATTAGGCTTATGTCAGGCTTAAAGATTCTGTCCCGCTTTTAGGGTACCTGCTTTGAAGTTAAAGCCACGATTGGTGGGCGTTACACGGCTCATCGTATTTTATTTTTATTTAACTTGCTTATTAAAGCTAATTCTGCCGCATTTCGGGAATTTATATGTCCACTTTCAAAAAGATTCGATTATATTAATTGAGAATACTGTGTTTTAGGCAGTCATAAATCGACAGAACGTTTTAGCTTCAGAACTGACATATCTTTGATCTGTATATAAATTTTGTCCACATTTTGGTTAACTGAATAAATTTACTTGTTTCATCAATATTACTTTTCGACTATGACAGTGAACATTACAAAACAGTAAATTGTGGATACGAAATTTACTCGAGTTTATAATAATACAGTAGCTGAACAATGGTTTTACCTACAATATAAATAAACATTCGTATTGTTAAATGGCACATGAAAAACATGGAAATTACGTTCAATGAACTAAAATTAATGATCAGTATGAGTATCTGTTTAATTGAATTTGCTTTATATTCCGCCTATTGAAAATTTGGCACGTGTTATTGCACTTTTTAAACGTTTTTGAATGTTCAGGTTGTTCCTATATAAGCGTCAGTTTTAAGAAACAGTTTAAGTCGTTAATTCGAAGAGATACAATTAATATGAAACTCTTTTTGATCCTGTCCAGTCTGGTCCTCTATGTGGCGCTCAGCTCTGCCCAGTCCTGTCCAGGACTTCCAGGTGAGTTGAATGTTTGGTAATTTAGGGAATGTAGCTTATTAATGTTTAAATATTTTCCAAATAGGCTTCCAGAACTGCTTGAACGGCAAGGACGAAGGAGTTGAACGCGCAAGGCATTGCAATAGTGATCCCAATCCAGAGATGTGGTACTATAACCAAAATCGAAATAGGTGCATCAAGATGAAGTACCTGGGCTGTAAGGGCAACCGCAATCGCTATTGCAAGTTGAAAGACTGTCAGCGGGCCTGCGTTCGACGATCCTAAGCAGTTAATGTATTCCAATTCCCCGGATGACGTGATGAATAAGAATCGTGTTTAATGTTATATAAAGAAATTGCAAGAAATTGCAGAAAATGTGCCAAACTAAAAGATTGTTTGCTTGTTTCAGCTTGGGAAAAAACCTTGGGCATGGGAAAATCCTATGACAGGAATCATAGGAGATCTCTTTAACTGGTTCGCCCCAAAATTGATCCCAGAAATTGTGGATGGTAAACCACCAAACCTCAAAAATGTTAGTGGCAAACAAAATCAATTGAAATACCAGACACTTGTGTAATCTCTTGCAGCACATCATGCTGCACCTAAATTAATCAGCACACCAACAATCGAAATAAAAGCAATTACAAGGAAAAACTCACGCAATGCAGTTTGACATTTAGCCGAATGTCTGAAAGAGATCCACCGATGCAAGCGCAATCAATCATTAGCATCTTTTCAGAAATTAATTCTCTCGTTTTTGTTGTCATGAAACAACGCCCTCGCAACTCGTGTATCGAATGCTGCCATTATGTCTGGGGCATATAGAAAATTGAATCGTTGTGCGGTGTGTGGCACGCATACAATTAACACAATTGAATGAATAATTAAATTGGAGAAAGACTTAAGCGACGAACTTTATGCCAACGCTGGATGGAATCGCGTGGAGTTCGAGGGAGCAGCCAGTAAGTAAGTCAGTCGTTCAGTTAGTCAGTCAGTCAGTCAGTCAGTCAGTCAATAAGGCAGTGAGCTTCCCACCAGCCAAAATGTTAAATTACAAAAGAGCAGACATTGCATGTGCTTTGCAGATTTGGTGAAGCTGCTGAAATGATGCCATCAGCGCCAACGAGCGACAACAATAGACAGTTCGGTACAGTAAAACCTTAAGAGCTTATCAGTTTTAAGATTTAAAAATGAAAAGTATACGACAACTGGGTACTCCAGCTGAACATCGTAGAAACTAGCATTAAACAAAAATGATTTATTTATATTTACTGAAACAGTTTAACTTTTGATTAAGTTATTTGTCTACCTCTGTTTCAATGCTTCTGCCCCAGTAACAAATTCTTTGTAGGCGGGGTTCACTGTACCCATCTGGGGTGTGGGCTGCTAGAGCGAGCAATGAAGGTGCCAGATACATAGTCGCTCCAGAGACAATTGTCTACTGAAGGATTACCCAACACCTGACCCGTCAACTCCCCCCTTTTGGCTCGCACTTAATGGAGCGCATAATTAACTAATGTAGGTGAATCAGCCTCCAAGACCCGTGGCACACATGAAGTGCGCAATTGTAATAGCTCTTGGATCCGGACCCCAAAACCCGCATTGGGCAACCCCAAAATCAAAGGTGTTTGGGTAAAGAGGAAGAAACGCCTACTTGGGCCGCATTCATTTATGGCAATTAACAGAGTGTTTAATTATGAACAACTGCCGTTCGGTGGGCAACATATAATATGGCCTTAAGCTCGATGTTTCCACATCTTAATTGGATTATACAATACTCGTACCAGCTAAACTAGGCTGAAACATGAAACATGTGGGTCAGAATAAAATAGAACAGCTAACTGTGCAGTCTCTGGTTTTACATTAATTAGTTTAAATGATATCAATCAATATCAGATTAGTTCCCAGCATAGAAATCGATTTCAGCATGTACTTTATGGTTTATTGATTAGATCATGGCACAACAAAGCTCACCTCACCCAGCTTTCTCGACTGGTCGGAAAAACAAGAAATTCGCATTTAACCATCTAACAACTGAAGTATTTTTCGCAGACCATTTACGGAGACCTAATGAATAACAGCCCAGCTCACCGAGTAACTGCCTTACTGGCACAGACTTTATGGCATGGTGAGTACTAAAGATGAAGAAACGTTGCGAAAGACACCAGCTAGTCCACAAATGAAAATGAATACTAGCGAAAACATGGCAAGGAAATAATAAAACTGCAAAATAAACTCACCGTTTGATTTCGAGAACAAATTCGAGGCTCAAAACACATGCTTCAATACCATGTCGACCATAATTCGAGTTTTATTCACATTGACTACTTTTCAGCCAGCCCCCAGTGATTTTCATGTAACTGGCATAAAATTATAAAATTCCATTGATTAATTGCTGACATGACAAATACGCTGCGTCTAAATGTGACACAAGTTGCGCGCCTCAAACTATAAGGAGGAGAATAAAATTAAAAAATTAGAAATACAAAAGTCTACTACAAAATAATGCCCACAATGGCAAAAACCACATCAGCAGCAGGCACAACAAACAATTTGTAATTAACACGCGTGGGTCTCAGACTGAGACGATCCAGCGAGCGAGAACAAATGATATAGAAATACATGAACAGGCTGAAATTCGAATTGATATTCACTTTTGCCACATGGTCCAGTTGCCATATAAGGCAGATCGATCCACTGACAGCCTTTGCCAAATCTACAGTTCCCAACGAAACTTTAAAGCTGGTAATAAGTACAACTCAGAAGCTTGATAAGATTCAATGAGAACCTTTTCTCACTTACAATTAAATGTCAACTGAAAGGGCAGAGTCTTATAGCCGTGAAACGCACTGTACGCTTTCCATAAATATTTGCGCTTCTCCGTAAAAACTTGAACTTGTCCAAAATCGTTTGACTGACTGATTTATACGAATTTTATTTATAGAATTTGGAAAGAACTAAACAGAACAAAAAACATTTACATGCCATGTAAATTGGCTGTCCGTGTCGGGCATTTATTTAATTATTTATTTATAATTAAATTGTTTATTTAGCGGCAGATGTGGTCTTTGCCATTTCGGTTCGCCAGGAAGCCAATTAGTTTAGCTTTATATGGCCTAAACTATTTGACGTTTCTTGCTGGCCGCATCTCTAAGCCGTTTTCCATATCGTCTGAAGATTTTTATCGCTTGATCTTTGGCTGAAGCCGTAGGAAATGTCAAATATCCACGATTTAAGTTAATTAAGTGATCGTCGAGAAGTCAAATGAACTTGAACTACGCAAAAAGGACAGGAAGGAAGTGCGAATGTTGATGATGGCCTGAACCATTCCGGCTGGAATTTTTTTTGTTCTGAGCTTATTTGGTGCTCAGGTATTGTAACTTAAATAAGCTAAAATTAAATGAAATTGTGCAAGGACTTGTTTGGTATAAGCGCTCTAATATTATACTCAAAATTTGTTTACCTTTTCCTTTCGCCTCAAATTCATATAATCTTTTCGCTGGCTCTTTTTCAATTTCCAAAGCGTTTTTTCAGCCGACTTCTGTCTTGTCAGTCAGCCCGAGACAACGCAATATTTTTTTGCCGGCTTAACTCTGGCATTCGCCGCTTTTGGGACCCCGTTTAATCTTTTGGCTGCAACATGTAATAGCTCTTTAAAAGGTTCAGAGCCCAAGCACACTCTCGACTCTTGAATTGGGTCAGCAAAGTGTTATGTATGCGACTAAGTATTTACTTATAGAGCATGTGAGCTGCAGACTCTAGTTTTGCCAACAACTTGGCTGCAAAGCCAACCTAGCTTGAAGGAAGGCTTTTGGGGCATGCCACACACATCAGGTACGGAGATGAACACTGATTAGCCGGAGTCAAAGTTTACGGGGGCTAATCGTGAGTCGAACCAAGTGAACTAACCGAAGCCGAAACCGAAACTTTTGGCAAATAGGCTTTGGCAAAAGCATGGCACAATATGACTCAATTTGTGGTGCGAAAGAGTTGGCTATTTAGAGTGTTACTATGGATTACAAGGTTTGCTTAAAACTCAATGCTTCCGTACTAAAAATCAGCCCTGAATCTATCATATCTTTTTTATAGCACTGGAACAATGATCCTGCATTGTAAGCAGATTCATAGTACCTATTTGTCTATCAGCCCACACTCCCAAAATGCGGCCAAGTCTAGCGCGTGGCCAAAGACGAGCGCCAATTAAATATTCAAAACATATTCCCACCATAAATGTCTCATAAATACCCGATTCCTTTTTTATGATTATCTTTTTTGACAAAAAGGGCACGTATCTTCGCCAAATGCAAATTGGGACGTAAATCAAACATAAATCCGCACCCGACAAGAAACACTTGTACGACTAAGTTATGCTAAATGTTAAACATGTTCAATAGCTAATATAAAGTAAAACTATAGTTTGTTTTAATAGTCAATACAGTGAATAAGATGCACAATTCGCAGAAAAATATAAGAATGACAAGCTAATGTATTAATTGATAAAAAATTGAAATTAATAATTAGCCAAGCGCTTCCTAAATCTCATTTTACCAAATCAGCTGGCTCACCTGGTTGAGTGGCGGCACCGGAAGCCTCTGGCAATCGGCAACAGGTGAACCTCTGCCCATTAGCAGGGCGTGTCTCCAAACCCAACTGAAAAAAGCAAATATTCAGCAAAAACATCATCTTCATGCTTTGCGGCTAATTAAACATTTTCTGTGTTTCCATACCCTTTTTTTGGGTACTTTGGTTTCATATATAGCACCAGAAATCATACAATTATTAGGCTTTCTGCAAAAACAAACTTTATAATCTAAGCAGATTTGTTAAATCATTTTGCATTAATATTTGGTAAATAATCATAGCTTGCTCTTAAATAAATACTACCAAGTACAACATTTCCTTGATGTTTTGAGAATGCACAAAAGAACTAATCTGTAAATAAATCTTTGTCGCACGCTGTAATTACCAAATTAAAACGCATTACTAATCAAATAGTAGTGAGAAGTAAATGCTGCTATATTGGCCTGAGATTAGAGCGTATTTAAACATTTAATTTCCCACAGTCTGGGTCTCTTGTTTGGGTCTTTTTTGGTTTTGTGTTTAGCAATTAGTCAGGCATGCACTGTCTACTCGAAATCAGGAAGATTGTCAAAACACGTACAACAATTTGTTTGAGGAAGCACCCAGGTGAACACACAAAAATTACTAGCTTACCTTTTTGGAGATTTCTTTTTGCATTTTGTTTTATTATGTTGATTTTTGTGTATATTTTGAAAAATATGTATGCGTGTGGCACGTGGTGGACCCAATGATGGACTGATATTATCGG